AATTAACCGATCAAGAATGAATATAACTTATTAATTTTAACATTTCTGCAGTGTTTCAACATTTGAAGGACCCGGATGCATTCGATTCTGAAATATGAATCGCAGTATACAAACATTGAATTAAATGTCTTTTTTTCTATTTGTGTTTGGAATCAAATACCCTATAAAGTGACAAAAGTAACGTGCAATTTACCAACAATTTAATATGTGTTTAGATATCAGAAACTAGATAAAACAAGAGGGCCATGATGGCCCTAGATCGCTCATCTGACTTATCAAACTCATCCAAACAATTACCTAGACAAGCAATCTGACCAAGTCTCATGACAGGTGAGTCAAAAAGGTGACCACTACAGTGTTAACAAGGATTATCCATATTTGAGCAGTTTTTTTACCCAGGTGACACATATTCAAACTTGACGTAGAAATCATCAAAACAAACTTTCAGACCAATTTCCAGGATACCTGGATCAAAACAGTAGCAACTAGAGTGTTTTTCTATTTTTAGCTCCGGTGACCTAGTTTCACATGCGATTTCGAACTCATTAAAGCAATTACCTAGACAAGCATTCTGGCCAAGTTTGATGATAATTGAGTCGAAAATGTGACCACTAGAATGTTAACAAGGTTTTTCCATATTTGGGCGGTGTGACCTAGTTTTTCATCCAAGATGACCGATGTTCGATCTTGACTTTGAAATCATCAAAACAAACTTTCAGACCAATTAACAGAATATTTGGATCACAACAGTAGCCCCTAGAGTGTTAACAAGATTTTTCTATTTATAGCTCCTGTGACCTAGTTTTTCATCTGAGATGTCCCATGTTCGATTTATTCCCAGCAATGACCTAGACAAAATTTCTGACCAAGTTTGATGACAATTGAGTCAAAATTGTGACCACTAGAGTGTTAACAAGGTTTTTCAATTTTTAGCTCCGGTGACCTACTTTTTCATCCGAGATGACACATGTTCGAACTCATCCGAGCTTTCACCTAGACAAGCATCCTGACCAAGTTTGATGATGATTGATGCAAAAATGTGACCGCTAGAGTGTTAACAAGGTTTTTCTATTTTTAGCTCCGGTGACCTTCTTTTTCATCCAAGATGACCCATGTTCGAACCCATCCGAGCAATCACCTAGACAAGCATCTTGACCAAGTTTGAAGATGATTGATGCAAAAATGTGACCGCTAGAGTGTTAACAAGGTTTTTCTATTTTTAGCTCCGGTGACCTAGTTTTTCATCCGAGATGATCCATGTTCGAACTCATCCGAGCTATCAACTAGATAAGCATCCTGACCAAGTTTGATGATGACTGATGCAAAAATGTGACCGCTAGAGTGTTAACAAGGTTTTTCTATTTTTAGCTCCGGTGACCTACTTTTTCATCCGAGATGTCATATGTTCTAACTCATCCGAGCTATCACCTAGACAAACATCCTGACCAAGTTTGATGATGATTGAGGAAAAAATGTGACCTCTAGAGTGTTAACAAGGTTTTTCTATTTTTAGCTCTTTGGACCTAGTTTCTCATCCGAGATGACCCATGTTCGAACTCATCCGAGCTATCAACTAGATAAGCATCCTGACCAAGTTTGATGATGATTGAGGCAAAAATGCGACCGCTAGAGTGTTAACAACTAAATGTGAACGGACGACGGACGACGGACGGACGGACGACGGACAATCATCGATCCTAAAAGCTCATCCTGAGCATGCTCAGGTGAGCTAAAAAGTGTTAAATTGTATTTGACTACCATTAAATGCATTGTGTACACCGGTATTACTGACCTGTGTGAATCCACGCTAAGCATGATGGGAACGCACTACTTTTTACATGGCGGCTTGAACACCGAAGTGATAGAACAAATCGAAAATGGGGCTAGTTGAAAAATTAAACTTTTTCCATACTCTATTGGCATAATAGCCATTACATCATTTTTACTCAACACGCACCAAACACTCTTCTGACAATCCTTTATTGGTTTTATTAACCCAGTTTCGTTTAACACCCGTGATAGTATTTCGTCGATTGCAAGTTTAAATTAAAACCGAAAGTGAAAGTAGTTTTGAATATTTGAATTGGAACTATCAATATTGCACTTGCAATATTAAACTCTGGGAAACAGTGATCCCTTGAAAGCAATAAACGATTTTAATCACTTGAAAAGATATATTGTGGTTTGTGAAATAAGATTGTCATCCCTACGCGGACTTCTTTCTGTCGGAGTCATTTTTACCCTCATTTGGGGTGAGTAATGCGTCGTAAGACACAGACAATGCCATTAAATGTTCATGAACTGCAAAATATTTGGTATTGAAATTAAGTAATGCTAGGAATCACAATCAATATAGTATTGGAAACTAAAAGAAAGTTCATTTACAAGCATTATATCATGTTTTGACCTTTTCAGAATGATTATTAACCTCGTTATCCTCTTCATATTTTTTATAATTTGTATACTAGATGACGGAGCTAGATAACATACAATACTATATATGTAAATCTCTTTTATTTTTATATGAAATATTTTAATTTAGAATTTATTTATCTTTATTTTAATAAAGAATTTAGTATACATGAACCCTCTTGTCTTGCTATGAAATGAATTTCGGTATTTTTACGACGATTTTTCTCAAAGATTTTCAAGTCTGATTCTGTCGCAAAGGGAATTCTAAAAGATAATAACCCTCATCTTTCATATTATTTTATAAGGCACACTTGGCCTAAACTATTTTGTATGTTTTAATACCTTGTACCGTCAATAAACGGGGCCTTGTTAACTACATTTCTTTGGAGCGAAGCGTTCCTTCATTCCTATATTCAGATTACGCATAGTCAAGACAATTCTTCATCATAGCAAGGGTTTATAAAAGATTTATAGTACTTAAATGTGACCCTTTTTGCATTTAGGAACCGGGAATTGCAAAAAAAGGACCCTTAATGTCAAACAATATTACATATAAAATCTTCTCCGTCTTTTTGCTTTACATTTTCGATTGGAACACTTATATTTTAGTTAATCTAGATTAATGCTTCCGAGGGATCACATTTTGTCCATATTTTCATACTTCACAAAAACAGGTGTCAAGCTGTAAAAGTTGCCCCGTGTTTCACTTCAGTGTTGTTAAATTTTTTCTGGTCTTTAGAAATCAGATAATTGATTCCAACACTTTCCAGTGTTGAACATTGAGTACCGCTCGTATATGTCTTACGGTAAATCGGACAGCTGCTTTAATAGAGAAACACTTAATTGTTTATGTAAAAAAACAGCAATTTTTGAACGTTTTTAGTTCAATGATATTTAGTGTGCAAAGCAAGAAATATTTCAAGGGATAACAGATAATTTCAATAATATAAAAAAGAGAAAACAGAAAGTAATTAATTATTTGAAAAGATTTACATTAAGGTTTTTAGAGGAAGTTACTGAAATCGGTATAAAAACCAATAATAACATGAACCCTTACTAAGTAAACGAAATTTACTCGATATGCATCAGTAAAAAGCGGCACAGTATTTTGTTGAAATATTATACATACTTTAAGTTTGGAAAGTTCCCATTATGTAATCTGGGATACCATGTTTAATTTTAATATTTGACTCACCTAAAATGATGTTCTTTTTTTCATAGGTTAATTTATTTTCTATTTTGATTTATGATCATATGATCAAACTACAATAAAGACTTCCAAATCATTTAACATTACCGATTTTTTCTATATCATGTATACATTGACTTTCTTTGCTATGAAAGCCCTATGCAAAGAACGCTCAATGTATTTTTGAGTATCGTGAAATTTAAACCACACGTATTTTTTCTTGTAAAATCTACAAAAAAGTATGATATAATTGCTATAACCCTATATACATTATTATATAACATGTAATAGATTGTCATAATTACGGAAACGTATAGCGACCATCCCTATATGATATATATCAAATGACTTTTTTTACAGTTTTATAGTATGTTTGTTATATGCAAATATAATTTGAGGAAAGAATTACATATCTAAAAAGATGTAAGTGTTTTATTTTTTCATTTTGTCAAAAAGTTAAAAGTAGTTTATCTTGCATTATAAGATCAAAACGTACGAAAGATTACAAAAAATACGTATATATATGATTAACAATATTACTTGATTTAATTGTTGCCTTTATCAATTACAAATGTCTGGACTTTTCTCGTGTCAAACATAATATAAGAAGAAATATCGCTTGCGCTTTGGAATCTATGTTCCTATAATAACATCAACTGGTCGAAAATTCCTTTTTATATAATATTTTTCAGGTATCATCCTCTGTACATACATTTAAAATGGTAAATTTGTCAGAAGTTTTCGTTTTAAGCTATATATCATATATCTTACAAAAATATAATGGTTTCTATGATAACTAATTTACATCAGGTACTACTTCAGTAGCTTATTTTATGCTTATTAACATATTATCAAATATAAATTGTAAAATATGTTATATTATATTTTATAATGATAGAGGTATGCGAATAAAAAACCTCAATATATAAAATGATACATATAAATGAACAGAAAAATGTCACATAAATTTGAATCCAGCAATATAAACAGCAGATTTAGTAAATGATATATATTCAAGATCAAATATCAATGTAAATATTGTCAAATATATATCGTTTGTAAAATAAATTGTCTTAAATTCTGTTTTTACCAACATGCAGGGGCTGTAGATATTACTAGATAAATATTTCAGATCAAGTAAGTTTGTAAAAATTGGTTAGGTATATAATATGTATTAAATAAATTGTCAAACATTCTGTTTTAACTAACATATAGAGGTGGTCGCTATACGTTTCCGTACATAATCATTATTTTTTTAATAAACTATTTTGTTTTTAATTTTTCAAATATCTTTAAACCCGTTGTTGAAATAATTTTATTATAATTATATGAAACGATAAACAATGCCATTGTAAAAGAAGTTTAAGATTGATATGTTAAAAGGCTGTAACTAGTGTAACTAAGCATATAAAATAGTGCAGTGGGTACTTTACCACTAAACTGTTTAACGGTACGTTTATTTCTTGTAACTAAAGTTACATGTTTAAACGGTTTGACTCGGGAAATTTTATTTTTTCTAATAATAGGTCAATGGATGACAAATGTAAACTCAAACGCAATAACTGGTTTATTTTTAGCCAGATGAACTAAGTGTTTTGTATATAAAAGCTCTTGAAATACCGGGGATTATCATAACCGCATTAACATTATGAAGAACGTTTAATAACAGATAAATGCTTTCATAAGGTAAAGTTGTATTTTTTATAATTTAATAAATTAAAAGTAAATCTATTTATGAACAACTCTGTGTGCAAAATTTAGTTTATAAAATTAAAACTATTATTGCTTATTTTTCAAAAAGTTTACGAAAAGAAAATTTTTGAATGTAAATTTTTTCAGAGCTTTAAATTAAGTGATTATGTTAGTATAAAGTTTCAGCCTCCTTGTAACAAAATTCCAAATTCTCAAATGCCACATTTATTTATTTTTATTAAGTGCTGAATATTGTAGATTAATACTTCTTTACACTTTCTGATTCCATTTTACAAATTTAAATAACTCTAAAGTATTGTTTTTGTTTCACAGATCCCTAATTAAATTACTCATCTTCGGTGCTACAAATATCCTTTCCAAGAACGGAAAAATGAGTTGGGGAAATTCTTGGTCAGGAAACAGTTTCAGCAGTGGAAGTGGACGAAGTTGGGGAAACAGTTCATGGGGAAACAGCTCCGGAAATAAAGATCCGGAGGGTACTCATAATGCTTCATGTATTGCCGGATCGGGCAGTTGGGGTAACAGCGGACTTATGAAGAGTTATTATGATGAACGTTGTTCAGGTTGTCGACATGATAGGGCAAAATCTCCGTTGGGTTCTCCACCCTCAGGTGGTAATCCTGCACTGAAAATGGCAGCTTTATTCGGAATTGGAGTTATTGCAAAGAAAAGTCTTTGGGATTAAAAAAAACAGTATGAAAGTGTGAAACAAGTTTTGAACTGATGAAAATGCCCAATACCTATTATGTGAGCTTGTAATAAATCGTTATTCCTACCTACCTAATTGGTAAGCAAATACGTCAGATTTAGTCTATGCAAATAGGCAAAAGGTGTTTTATAGATTTGAACATGCATGTATTATACATGTAGGACTGATTTGAAACCTACAGAAGCCAAGAGCAGAGTAAGACAAACATTTTCTTTTCAAGAAACGGTTCAACAACAAAACCCTCTTTCAGACTTGTATTTGTATCACAGCTAATGAATAAATAACGGTTTTCAGGAAAGCCGTAACGTAGGTAATTCTTATTTCAAATTAACTAATGAGAGGGTAAATGTGTATGATACAAACGTGCAATAAAATGAAGAATAATAAAATCGGACAATGTGCAATATAAGACTAACTTTTTCTGAAATTACTAAATTAAATGCAATTTTGAATAAAGATTAGTATCATATGTGTAATCCAATACTTCATTATACGTATGAAAGTGTTGTTTTTTTCTTCAGTACATATACATATAAAGTATTGGTATAGATGTTGGTGTTCAATATCTAATCAAATGTTGCTTTGTTTTATGACTGTTGTGTAACATCACAATTAAAGTATTAAAATTAAAAAAATGTCAAAGTGTATATGTTATTTATATAGATCTTAGCGTCAAGAGCAGAACGTGTTGTCTTCATAAGGAGTCCATTTAGAGAATTTGCTAATAGACAGAGGAATTTCCATAAACTACAACAATATAAATTGTCAATAAAATTATTACTAATTAGATGTACTAAAACACACAATAACCTTAAAGATAAACTGTAATTTTAATGATAAAAAGTAATTATGTAACGAATATTTGAGATTTGTAATAACGACTTTAAAACTGAAATGTGCTCCTTATAAACTGTATTGCCGTTTGTACGTTTGAGATTTATAACTTTAAAATAAGGTTAATAATAATAAAAAATCATATTCTTCCAAGTTATGGAAATGATTTACTTTGCATTATTCTTAAGAGATCATTTTGGACTACTAACAAACTTTCGAAAAATTAAAGTAGTTGAATAATTTCATTTCTTTAATTTTTATTTCTTTTAAATTTGCATATTTAGCTCATCAGCATAACATAAGTGATAGAACAATAATCATCAGTTTTATTTTCTCCTTTTTATAACAGAAAATTAAGATATTTTGATTTATAATATTACTAAAATTACCCAAAAAAAACTTGAAATAATTTGTCATTATCAGTATCAAAATAAAATAACATATGAAATTTAGAAATCAGTTTTTCACCATTAGAAGATGATTGATTTAATTCAAGTGATATTATATATTTTTTCTCTACAATTTTACACAGCTTGCAAATATTTGTAAATATTTGTTAGGTATACCTTTCATCAATCGGAGGTCAGAAAAAAGCTTCATTTTATTTTGTGAATTAGTCAGTTCGAGTTATTAGCGATATTTTAGTCATACATCAACATTCAGTTACATAACAAAATTATCAAGTCTTATTAAGTGTTTTATACTGTTTGTATATATGAAATAGGAAAAATATTATATTAGTATAAGTACATCATGTTTTTTTTCACTGTTTATTTACATTGCCATGGTATCAATGTTCTTAAACTACTCTACTTAGTTAAGGTGACTGCATGACTTCATAAAAATGTTTTAAAGAATTGCCTTTTAATCAAATTTATGATTATCACCATACAGAAGATGATAACACAAAGACCTAGTTTTGAACTTGTTTTTATACTCGACAAGAATGTTAGTTTATCTGATTCGATTAAAAACCCATTCAAAAATGTTAACTGTACTGTTTATGTAAGCGAAACACTTCAATTTTAACGTCCTTCATGCAAAGCTGTAACTGTCAAATAACATAATATGGATAAATAAAATGTAAAATCGGTCTGTTATTTTTAAGCAATGCAGTCTTATTAGTGAATATTGTTATACAATAGATTGGCTTATAGATATTTATGACAATATTGCATTTTTTACATGTGCTATAATTATCTAAAAAAACTGGAAAAGGCGATTAAACACTAAGTCATGGTATTAGATCTGACGAGAGCAGAACATGTTTCTGTAGAAACATTATTTGTAATGATTATATTCTCAATACTTTTTGTTCGCTTATTTTATGAAATTCACCTTTTAGATAAGTATCTTGTCCTTGCACAAACAGCAATGCTTAACCTTTAAGAAAAATATGTTTCACTAAGTATGAATGTATACTAAGTACAGCAAATCAGTTAAAAAAAACTATAAGATCTCATTTTACAAGTCAAGTGCCATGATTAAATTATTCAACCAGATAATAACGGCAAAACAGTGGATTATTATTAGTGCTCTTAATATCCTAGTCAAATAGATAATATAACAAAATATGATTATGATATGGGCAGCCTCATGGTGAATTAGCAAAGTGGCCTCTTATTTCTTGTTGGTCTTATGTCGGGCATCAAAAGCAAGCGGATGCACAGGCTGGTCTGGATCCATGCAGGGCGAAAACGCATTACGTTGGTTTTGTCATGACGCGTCTCATTTTTGAAACAGTTCTATCATTTAAGATGATTTTTTTTTCAAATAGGCTATTTATGTGTCTAGTTAAAGGTTTCTTTCCTGAAATTATTTAATGTCATTAGCAGAAACAGTCACAATGTGTTGTTTTAGAATTCAAGAAACTGATTTCTTTCCCCGATATTATAACATAGAAACGAATTATTGAATAAGAAGAGATAGACTAGTAGTTTGTAAGGTCAGTAAACTATAATTATATAAAATATATAATCATATTCCTTATGTATTGAAGCTTGCTTTTAGTTATTTATTCTTTGCATTGATATGACTATTTTCTTTAAATCAATACGATGAAACATGCTATAAATGCTGGATGCTCTTTCAAAACTATACATTTCGTGTTGTATCCATCAAGGAAAATTAACTATATAATAAAATAATTACATCTTTATAAATCTCATCAATTCAATCGACTATACAAATATTTCTTTTAATCATATCCAATATATAGTTGTATACTATAAGTTATAGAAGTTGCTGACATAATATACGACGAATAAAGCCTAAATGAGATTTATATGACTTAAGGTAGATCATTTTCTCCCCATCCCCGTATGTAATAACCTATAAAGCGAAATATTGAGATTGTAAATTAGTCTATTTAGATGTTATTACCACACACTAAAAGAGAGTAAAAAATAAAGATGTATAAATGTCATTAATCTTTTTAGAGCTCCTAAATGATGTTTCATTAAGTCTGTAGTATTCGTATGTTAACTTAATTTCCAAAAATATAAAAGAAACTATTCCAAGTCATATAGAGACATATTTTCGGTGAGGAGGGAATCCTAGTATTAATACCATATGCCAAACGTCTCCAGTCTCTTATCAAGGAACACGGAAATTCGTTTCCTTTGTGTGTCTAATTACGTGATCAGTGCACATCGTTGCTGAAACGGATTTTTTTTTTGTTTCAGAAAGTCAAGGATAGATGATTTTAGTAACTCGTTTAAACTTTTTATCCAGGAAATTGACAAAAAAAATATTTGTAAATATCTTTTTCATTTAAATTTAAAGATAACAAAGCTAAGGAAAGACTCGAAAAGGAAAATGCTTGTTAAAAATAAAACCCGACTCGACAAGTGTCAACTTTTTTTTTTTTTGCAAAATGAACTACTTGTCAATCGGACGCTTATGGGGATAACTTCCTTAGCTATAAGTATATCTCCTTGACTGTATAATACAGGATAAATAGTATGTCAGCAAATCACAGTACGAGAAATTTATTTGCATTTTTAAACCGGTGCATAATTCTCCAATTAATTACTACATGATATTGTATATTGACAGTGTAAAAGTATTATAAATATATAGAATATTGTTACATTAACCATGAGTCTACTAGGAGCAACAGATTCAATCATTGATGCCAGCACAATTAAGTGTTGAGAATTGAGTAACGCTCGGGCCGGTGCTGGGGGGCGTGAGGGATGTTGCACATGTTCAGTATCCCTCATGTACAGACTCAATCAAACCGAGTCTGCAATTCTTATGTAATTCTGTTGTGATTAATGCTTCCGAGGGATCACTTTGTTTCCAGATTATTTTTTTCTGATTTGGTCTGCACTGTTTGCTTATGGTGAAAGGTTTAATATACAAATTGAAATATTTCAGAAGGTTAAAAGATGATTTGGGGAATTCAGCATTCGCTTTATCAAACTTTGCAAAAATAATACTTTAAATGAAGTTGTTTTGGTTAAGATACAGACTACCAGTTACAGACTGTCCTATCTTAAAGAGAATGGTATTTTATTGTTTGGTACATTTGAATATTCAATGACATTTCGTCGGAAATTGTCGGATTCCGAAGTATATCATACGGAATTTTAAAGTATGGCATAGCGGTATACATAGTTAACTTAAAGTTAACGACACAACACTTGCCTAACTTACCTCGGTGATAAGAGCTAACACTCTTAGATTCAAAATGAAGGTTGTAGAATGGAATCTTAACTCATTACCGCATGAGCATTATGTGAAAAATGGATGTTTCATGGATAAGTCTCCCGTTACAAGTTCAAGATGCTTTAAAACTATAAAAACTGCTTCAATACTAATCAAACTTGGCACAAATGTTGACTGGACCATTGCCTTTGTTACAGCATGCTCAGTATTAAATTTCATGTTACCATGGCAACGAGGGGACATATTTTGCGTTGATTTTTTCCATCAAAATTGATTTCAAAGTGCTGCAACTTCTCAATGGATTGAGTCAAAGGCTTTTCAGCGTTGGTTACATGATACCTTATGATCGACCTTGGGTCATTCTTAGCATCTCACAAGTCTAAAGTTTTCTTGGCGATGAGGGGGACTGCCGCCCCGTTAAAACCTCCAAAACAGAAGGGGCACACCCCTCTTCTTGTATCTTTTGAATAGGGGCGGCGCTGAAAAAGTGGTCACTTTTTTAAACAACATTTCTCAAACAAAAACAAGTGTTGGGGGCCTAAATAAGGCATTTTTTCACCATTTGAGACAACAAAGAGCGGGGGAGGGGTAGAACGGCGTATATATGTGGTAATAGGTTAATGAAACATTGTTGTTGTTTTTTTGCTTTGTTTGTGTTTTTCTTTTAATTATTATTATTATTATTATGACATGTACTATTATTATTATTATATTTTAGTGAATCTTGGCTACTTCTTAGTTTTTGTGCATGCCAATCACCCATTGTAGGGCTGTACAAATTGAATCTTTGAAACTTTACAGATAAACATATATACATGAAATTTATGCTTTTTTAAAGACATAAATATGAAGTTAGAGAAATGATTCATCCATAAATGCTGCATATAATTTAAAAACAACAATTTTTAACAAAGAAATCTGAAAAAAAGCTCGGGACATAAGTAAAAGATTAAGTATCGACATTATTCCTATCAGTAAATCGCAATAAATTACGGAAACTAACGAAAAAGCTTCCGAAAATTAATGAGTATCGAGTCAACATTGCCAAACAATATCTAAGTTGCATTTTGTAATTTTCCAGTCCAGTGACCTTGTTATTTATACATGGTGTCGTTTTACTTTTGCATGCTTCAAGATAAAGTTTGTAAAATATAAATAGTTTCCATTTTGCCTAGATGATTAAATGGAAAATAATATATGAAACACGAATCTGAAACTTGTAAGAAAATTACATGAAATCCCTGTCAGGGAAACCAGTAATGATTTTTGCGGTACATTCTGCATTCATGTACAATTGTGGAAAATCGACAATATATGCAAAAACAATTGAAGATAATCAAAATATTTTAACACGTGTACATGTAATAATTGTAAATCGTGTGTCATATACATTTTTATGAATGAATGTCAATTTGTTTTAAAGATATTTTTTCTTGAATAACATTTCAAATACAGGTCAGCTGATACTTACACTGCAAATTTAAAGAGGAAAGATTGCCATTCCGCCTTGTATTATCTAATTTAAAATAAAATAAAGTCACTATATGACGACGAAAATACAAATAACAAAATTACAATAAAAAGACAACTGCAAAAAACAAGCAACCAAAAAAAAAAAACGATTCTACAATAAATATTTTTTGTCATCATAATAGGTGTACGATATATCGCCTCTCTTGTTTTTTTTCTTTGTTTTCCTTTTATTTGCCTTTATCTTACTTTTTCCATTTACTTTCTTTGTTATTGTTTAGTTGTAGGTTTAAACACGATGTAAATTTGAAGAAGTTTCATACATTTTGAATGATGAAGGCAAATTTGTCATAATATCTTTTTGTTCGAAATTTCGCAACTTTAGTATTTATGACCCAGATAGAATTTGTACTCGGTTCAAGGACAATGAATTGAAGATTATCCTATATTTTCACGTAAAGAGTAAATCTCTCACTATTTGATATTTAATAACGTATTATAACATAACACAACAGAATCTTATTCACCAATCGTATGAAAAACTTTATATTTGTTAAACAATCTGAGTTTACATTGTGCATGTACAAAAAGTATGCAGTGAAAAAATATGAAACAGAATATGATTTAAATAAATAATGTACATAATCAGTTCAATAAAAACAAACGCTTTTTATGCTTTCGACATATTGTCTTCTTCTGACAAAAATCGACGTTTATAAATAAACAATATTACAGTTATGGAAAGACGTTCTGCTTGGATATATATTGCATTTATATATTGCATGTACATTTATGAAACTAAGTTATATCTGCATGGTAATTCAGTATGACAGTTTAACAACAACAACAATACAATATTTGATAAAATCTATTTTGCATTTTAAAGTATCTTTCGTTTAAATACATGTAGATGTATTCTAAATCAAACTTTTTGGTCAAATGATGTTGTTCTATCTTTCGCTAGTGGTCCCTTTAAATACTTATAGGTGATTTACGGTTAATGAACATTAATTGCTTGACGAAAATAACAAATGTTATTGCCTTCCTCACCATATAACGTTTACGAGGCTATTTCTGTACTTCGTCGTGAAAGACGTTGTATAGTAAAACATGGTCAAAGGCTTATGCTAAAGTTTCATATAGATATATTAAAAGAAGTAATTAAGTTAAACTTTGTATGGTTTTAGAATAAATGACAGACACATTTTGATAACCTTCGGATAAAGTGTCAAACTAAACTCGTATGTATCAATTAAAAAGAGAAAACTGATAAGATAATGTCACAACCGGTTCAATATATAGATATTGCTTTATCTGTAAGAAAATATTGTACATGGAGATATAATATATATTATAATTATTATATTGATCATATGCAAAATTATAAACATGCTAAGCACTACTTGTCGACTTGTTTAAAGTCTTTTCATATATATTGTGTTGTTATCAAAATGTGTTTTTTATTTTGACATAAGATGGACACCGCCTGCTTTTAGACGTATCAATATACTAGTTTATTTTAGATGTAGTTTGTTTTAGATGGTGATTCAAATAAAGAAAATTCACTTTGCAAAACCTATTCCCCAAATGGCCCATATACCAATATAAACAATCGCTCCGTTATCAAAAGAAAAACTATCAAAGAATATTATAAACTTATTTGAACATAGAATATTAATGTACGGGAAAGTAAATAAGATTCTTTTGAAGTGTGTGTTTAATTCTTATCGTGTAAATGTGACAACAACAACAAAAGATAGATGTAACAAATAATTACAATATTTACATTTTACTTTTATGATTGTCGATCAACAATTAGTTGAATAGTTTTATAGCAACTTGAAACTACTTTGTATCAATACGCGAATAGAAGGAATGTAAATGCTATTAATATATGGTAAAATACTTTCTTCTTTCCTCCATCTTATATTTCGTCCTTTTCAAAACTCAATAAACAAAAATAACATCTTAATTTTCATCAAAACAAAAGTAATAGTTGCGACCATAAGCTCGTTTGAACACAGCGCTTGAGATATCTAAAATGATATGGTACAAGTAGGAGTTTATCACATTCGGAAAGTCTAGTAAACTTCCATCATCCCATAGTTATACAAATAAATAAACATTTGTGCAAGCTATTCATTATACATGTTGCATAAAATAATATAGATGATTCCCACTCAATTTGATTGCCTTATGACAAATTCCATAAAACATCAGTTAATTAAAGACACAAAATATATGTTTCTCATTTAATTTAGCTGATTATTTTTATCAACCACTTAAACATTTCAATACCAGTATTTGGCATATGTTTCCAAACCAATATATTCGCCTCAGTCCCAAATTCCTTTTTTAGTAGCAACTCCCATTCCGAGGAATGCTGCTAATTTAACAGCCATATTAATTCCAGATTTAGAGCCACTCCATGTTGACCCAGCTCTATCATGACGGCAACCAGAGCAATGTTCGTCGTAACATCCACTCATAAGGCCATTATGTCCCCAGGGTCCTGCGCCAGCTATACATGAAGATATGTGCTGACCTTCAGGTTCTTTATTGTTATCCGAGTCCTTCCCAGAATTTCCCCATCCACTACCGGCAGAGCCGCTGCTCCAAGAATTACCCCAACTCATATTTTGTGTCTAAAACAGAAATATAATACTAATCAAGGTTTGAATATATTAAAATATAATACAATTTTAAATGAAAATGCTTGCACCTTATTAGACCTTTACGTCAGTTTTCAAAATAAAATATTTTTCACATTTTAAAAAGACCAATTCCGAGCTGATGAAAATAAAATCGAATCTCCGATAAAACATCAAAATCTAACATTTTAACATGCTTTCCTGTTAACTAGAACACGAATGTTTCAAAAGTGACCTATCATCATTTTTAATTTAATTAAATTTTTCGAAAGTCTTCCTTCCGAAAATTACAAACAACGAAAAAAACATGCATTTCAATAAACAATGAATAGAAAAAAATTAATACAAAAAATAAAAAATAGCAGAAAAAAATCAAAGATTTTCCGTACCTAATATCGATGTTCCTTTCTTAATAGTAATTAAGACCTTGATTCAACCTTTTCTTCAACAAAAAGATATACTTGTTTGAACGAACGCTCTTTTGATGCAATATAAATGGGAATAATGCGCTTTTATACTAAATAGGACAACCAATGACGCGTCATTTAAAACAACATCATTTTCATAAAAAAATTGTTTACAAACAACAATGTTAAATAGGAATCACATATTACTCATTATGATGTAGTGTAATGCTTGTGAACATGTGCATTCTGTCGCGTAATTATTCATGATAAACAAAATTGACTAATTGAATACTACATTTATTTTTTGCACAGTGTGGATATAGGGATGTTTGAAGCTCTCATAAAAATTTTCACCATTAAGATTGCAGAAAAAAATGTAAGAATGTCTTTAATATATATTGTATACTCGTATGTATTTATATAGGAACTATAGGAACATATACATATATGAGCCGCGTCACGACAAAACCAACGTCATACGTTTGCGACCAGCATGGATCCAGACCAGCCTGCGCATCCGCGCAGTCTGATCAGGATCCATGCTGTTCGCTTACAAACCCTTTTACAAGTAGAGAAACTGATAGCGGACAGTATGGATCCTGATCGGACTGCGCGGATGCGCAGGCTGGTCTGGATCCATGCTGGTCGCAAACGCATTACGTTGGTTTTGTTTTGACGCGGCTCATATATTAAATTAAAGAACAATTTAGTCACAACAAATTAGAAGGTTTTATTTCAAAAGAGATCTTTGATGAAATAATAGCTACATACAGTTGTCATTTATAGTCACTTTAATAACACATCTTCTATAACGAAAAACTAAAACTGAGCTTCTAAGCGTCTTAGAGACGATTCTCACGTTTTGGGGCCAATATCATATAACTCTCGAGTCAGACTAAAACATTAGCATCGTCTTTTACTCTTAATATATAACTTTATTGCGAACAATTCATCTTAGAAAAACAAAACCCCAAATCTAGTGAAAGCATTGACGACAAAAACTATTGACAAATATGACGTAAGGTCTCAATATAAACACATTCAGAATCAATTAAAAAAAAGGTAAATTAAAAAAAATCTTGGACATGAAATTGCTACATGAAATAACTTGATTATAAAACTTTTGAAAGCACAATTTGACCTTTGGACAAACCAAAAATGCCCAAATATACATTGATACAAATTTTTGAAAAGAAATGAAGTTCAGTTTTCATTTTCATGACAGTAATTCTAACTGTAGATATGTTACTGAAATGTCTTATAAGAACATATTTGTATAAATCTCAGACATCTTCGAGAAAGAATTTTTCAAGGAAAAATAATATTTAAAGGAATGCACTTAACGTGCGATATATTTTTCTAACTACTAAAATGAATGCAAACATCAGTAATGTTCTTTAAAAACCTAGTCGTTGTTTTTGCTACTCCCAATTTGTGTGGTTACTTACAAGTAGGTAAGTACATTATTTTGTTGGGTCGTTAAACAAAAAAAAACATGCTAAAATATGTAAATTAACTCGCTTTAACTAGATTAAACAAGTAACATTGTAAATAATTTCAAAATTAGAAATTAGAAACATGTCTCAATGGTTAATTAATCATCAAAACAAGGTTTTTATAGACATGTTCAACTAACATTATAACATGTGTTTAAATCGCTTAAACTTGTTCACCAGTTTCTTTAGTATTACAAAGGGTTATTTGGCCAGATAACTAAAACTACTTGTAACGATTAAACTGAAATTGATATGCTATAGATGCAATCTCTCAGATGAATAAAGTGATAAATTTGATATAGTTACTGTACATTAGAATAGTTACTGTACATTAGAACATGTAGCTTCATTTTTGTCTCACTATGATAAAGCGATAAACGCTGTACCTTAATGTACAATCATGTACTCTTCTGCCTTCATGACTTTCAAAGTTAAAAATTGTTTTACGTTTCTTTCTTGTTTTTTTTTCTTCTTCAAATACATAAAGAGATGAAGTGTAAGACTATGAAAGCTTTTAAACTAACAACTGTTGTCACATTACAATCATAAATATACAAAAACTTTAACAGCTCCTTACTGTTTATGACTATAACAAAAATACGAAGTTTGCGTGAACATGTACTAGAAATGGACAAAGTTTTTGTTTGCTCTTATACGTAAATCAGCGATAATATGTCTCTTGTATTGTCTAATTTAATCATTATTTGCGTTAATGATAAAAACTGATGATTGTTTATTCACAATAATATGAGAGATGAAATTAAATAAGGTATTTTATATAAACTATTATATATAAAAAATAAACTGTAAACTGTATATATAGAAATATACAAAACGCAAGAAGCTGAGATCATAACAAATGAATACATGACCTTCATTTTTTTTTAATTGACAAACAGAAAGTTTGAAAAATCGACAACATTTTAATGCGTCCGAATCAATACTGTTTTAGTTTTTAGCGAAACTTAATTCAATTCCTATATTTGTTTGTTTGATTGGGTTTTACATCACACCGGCATAGGATAGGTCATATGATGACGTTCCGGCTTTACTAGTGGGGGATGACCTCAGATGCCCTTCCTTGATTTATTTCAGGCACGAACGGGTACCTGTGTAGAACCACTGTTCAGTAAGCTAGCTGAATAGCTTCCACACATGAAAGAATCAAAAGTCCATGTCGGGATTCGAACCCACAGCGGTGAGGGGCAAGTGGTTTGAAGTCAACTTCCTTAACCCCCTATATTTATATTTTTATAATACTGCACGTTTGTAACGTCATTTTTCATTGGATAATCGTGACGGTTATATAGTTTTATATATACGGCTGCTGTCGATTCATAAAGAAATCTTACTTTTTTCTCTAAAAAATGATTCTTGCTGTATTGTAAATTCGTTATAAAGATTGCTGAAAGGTTATATGGCCGTATATAAACGGCTGTTTGCAATATAACCCTCGCCTAGCGGCTCGAGTAATATTTACAAATAGCCGTTTATATAGGGCCATATAACCTGTCAACAATCTTTATAACTAATAATATACAGGTCAAGATTATTATGACAAGCGACATTTACAAAATAAAATAAAACTTTCATATTTTTGAATTACATGCATTTTTCTGACATATTTAATAAATTATCGGTTACAAAACATATTTGTAAGAAATGATTTACTTTTGTACATATTTATGAAATTTAGATTATATAAAAATATTTTTAAAAAGATAGAAGAAAGCGTCTTATTTTATATTCAAACGAGTGTGTATCAATGTGTGACTTGTACAATATATACAATTTCTTAAATCGACGAGATATTATTTACATTTCACTGCATAATAACATTAACGTTTTCACGTATGCGAATGCTTTTGTAGCTTGGTTAATTTTATATGGCCGAGTTACTGCATTAAATTGGTTTCATATAATGATTTTTATAAATAAATATAGAGTTATATACCATTCAACAAAATATGTTGTTGCATTTAATAAAGTCTATTTCATGATTTTCTTTGCAGTTTTTAATTACTTACTTACTGACATGTACTTAATGCCAACGTTTTAGTATAATTAGGCAAACGACACTATTTGATTATAGTCTCCGTCCTTTTACTATAGATTAACCGTTTTCCAAACTCTATATATAAGAACGATAACCTATACTTTCAATTAATCTATAATTTTCAACATCTTTTTATGTCTTGATTAAAAAAATGGCAAAAGATTTTAAAATCAGTCTGGAATAAATAAATTTATAATTATCTACAACACAAAGTTTTCAACCTCAAACGTTTCGTTAAACACCTCTTTATCAAGGAGTTTCTGTTTATTTCTTATAAATCACACATTTATCTTCTTGTGAAAATATTATCAGAATGTGTAAGCATATTAGGTTTGCTTTCGTGTTTATTTTTTTTGTCGGTTTTCAATCTTTTAGATAGTATGATTTAAAGGAGTAAAACATATATTACATTTAAATTATATGTCATTAATCTTTTCGAAAAAACATGAAGACCAACAATTTGTCAATACTGTATAAATGAGTCTTGTAATAAGTAAGTTTCTGTTGTTCTTTCCAACTCAACTATAAACAAATAAAAAGAGTTCGACTTTATGAACGTTCTTAGTATCCTTGGTGCTGATGAACGTTACAAACATTTCAAATAAAGTTGTTTTATTCTCAGCTAAGTTTATATCAACTGTGTTCACGAATCAAAATAAATCTTAGACCATTTCATTTTGTTCACTGAGGAACCAAAGTTGTGTTGCCAGTACCTTTGCTATTTGTGTTACTTTTATCAACTGTTTATCTAAATAGGAAACAGGAGAATATTTCAGCAACATACCGTCAGGTTGTTACAATGTAACTGTTAAATACAGAACTGTTTCATATAAAGATGCGTTAATGTAAGTGATCCATGAGTCGTGTACTTATTAACCTTACGTACCAAGTTAAACAGATGAGCTCCTCTACTGTACATCACTAATTATTTACATGTGATATCAAACTAAAATGTTTTTTTTTATATCATTTTTGCGAAACGAGAGTCCTTGAGTAAACAAAAAATACATTTTATAATATAAAACGGATCTGATCGATACATTTAAAGACAATAGCCGTCCACTTTTTATTACACAACAATAACTATAGTTTCTTTATAATATTTATGCATATACCAAAACACAGTTTAGATAGCATGGTCTATAATGCAAGTCGAGTTGAAATGTGAAATCCAACTTGAATACCGAGACACGTTCACTCAGCTTGAATAATGATAGTAAGTTAAAACTTTGTTTATATACGAGATGCAAACTGAAATATGCTGTTGCCGAGGCTATAAACACAGCATTCGGTTTATATCTCATAAAACATAAATTGTGAAGTTGACGAAGTTTTAAGCTGAATTTGTTTTTAATTGAAAGAAAATTAATGTTAAAATGAAATAACGCGACCTTAATTGCACACAACGGTATAGAGGTTTCCATTTTAATGTCGGTAATAAAGTTGTATCAACACCGGCTATTCCATAATGTTCAGTGTTTTGGCTTTCACTAATTTATTAAAATGCAAATTATTTTGCCTTAAATGGAGCAAAAGTTTATGAGGCTATACTGAGATGGTCGTAATTCACAAATCGCAGATCAATCATGATAAGATTAGAAGGAAAGTTCTTTAACTGAAATAATAAAGGGTTGTTTA